ATATAATTATAATAAAAGATTGTAGCACTTCCGTCATCGCAAAATTATAACAAAGAATTCAATAACAAAGAATTCATTCCTAAAAGCAAGGTACCTTATCGTACTTATTATATTCTTTTTTCGTGCGATAATGTTATCTTGCGTTGATCTTCCAACACACTGGGATAAATTTAAAACGGACGAATGTGTCGCTACGAAAGTAAAAATCGCGTTGAGAAACGGGGAATTGTCTGTTGATTGCTGTATTTACTTTCTTCCTTTTAAGTAAGGTTATCTTTAACAAAGAAAATCTTCTTGATAATCTTAAAATATACTTATTACAAATTTAGAAAACTCATTATATGTATTCAAAAGAAGAATTTATTATTTAAAAAATATTATAAAATTGATTAAAGAAGCAACTTTATATAAAAAGTAAATTGAAAATTTGTTTTAATTTAATAATCCTAATTGAAGTAGCAACTTACTAGGATTAGAATATATTTTAAATAAATTAAATTCTTGTAATGAACTTATGAAAGATTTGCAGATATATGAAATATATTTTAAAATACTTTTAAAATACTTGGTACAAGTAATTATTACTTGCGTGTAGTATGTATTTTTCTGTGTGTACACGACATAGCAGCTCGGAAATTAAATTCATGTGGATTTTTGGGTGGCAGTAATTGGCAGCCGATCCGCGTGGCCGTGTTACACGTATGACACTTGCCCGGGGCGTTTATGCGACCGTCGCACGCGAGAAAAAGGGATTATCGAGCTGACGCAAAGGGACACATCGTTCACCCTCTTCGTTCTCTTTGAGAAATTCGACCCCTTCTAACGATCCCCCGCCTAATAACCGCCGCACATCAAGTTCTTATCCGATGAAAAAATAAACGTGGTATCGCGATTCCAGATGCCTTTTCCTCCTTGTTTTGTGCTCCTCTCGAACCGTAGAATTTTGACTGATCTTTTATTTGTACGCGCCGTGTAGTTTCGGAAGGGGTGCATAATCGGCATTCTAAGCGAAAATTATTTAATCGCCTGCTGGCTGTCGCGCCAGCTGACACGAAGAATTAAAAGCGTTAATTGATTCGTTAATACCCGGTGTTTTCTCTGACAACACAAGAATGAATTACCCTCGAGAATTAATCTTCAAATGAATTAATCAACGTGTTTCTTCAAAGGACACGATTCCTTTGCGTTTGCAGACTGCGTCGACTCGCAGTCTTTTTCTAAAGGCCGATCTCAATATTCCTTCGTGGATATCGTTCCCTTTTTCCCTGGCGCGTGATTGACGCGGGTAATTAAATTTTCCCGACTCATAAAAGTCAGAATAGACCGCAAATGTACCAAATACCATGAAAAATATGCGCTCATTCCATTGCTTATTTTGCAATATAACGAGAGCGTCGTGCGTTATCAGACGAGAGCGGCCTGTGGCCTTGCGCGATCCGATAACGCGCTTAAGTCACTTAAACGAGCTGATAACGAGTTTCGGTTCTTTGCGAACGCTTGATTTACAATAGCATGTACGAATATTTTCGCTATGAGATGTAGCCCATATTTTTTATAATTCTCGCGATCTGTAATTCTTAATTCATACACTGGAAAAAGAGTCTGGTTAAGTTAATTGGAATTCTGATTGAAATCAGAATTTTCTGATTGAATCTATATATAATTCTAGTTGAGATAATTAGAATTCTAGAAATTTTTCTCAGTGTAGCTTTCGGCATTGTTGACTCACATTCGTGACTGTCTCAATTCATAAGCACCGAATCCGAAATCTTAACTTTTAACTATCGTCGCGAATTCTCTGTCGCATTCACACCATAATAATTATTTATTTAAATAATTATTTTTAGCTATTTTTATTATATTGTTGTTGTATTGTTAAATGAACATTTTATGAATGTATAGAATAAAAAAAACATGATATTTTTGACTTTTATTTATCATTTTATTGAAAATTAGTATACTATAAAGAGAAATAATATTATTCTGTAGAAAGATAGTATATGTATAATACATTGACATTGAAAATAATTTGTAAACATTTTTTTTTTAAATTTTGATTTAGTTAATTTATTTAGTCGCAATATATAGCTAATTTTCTGTATTAAAGTAACAAAGTTGTACAACTGATTAAAATTAAAAAGTGATATAGGTAATCATATTTGTTTTAATAGTAAATTTGTTGATATGATCAAAGATAACTTGCTACAAAAATCAATCCAATATTTAGAAATGAAAATTTTTAATAAAAAACATGCTGGCTAAAATGACACATACTTTTGTAATAAAGGAAACATTAGCAATTTGTATTGTTTATTTTATTCACATATCTGATAATTAAAGGAGTATACTGATAATGAAGAGAAAATATTGATAATTGCTTAATAATTTCATTGTTAAACCATTAAATCTTAGTTCTAGAAAACATAAATGTTGAATTCACGTAGCAAGGCTATAGCTTTGTTGAACTATTCGATCTATTTTTTTTCTGTGACATACTATAAAAAGAAATTTTATTACTACCGCCGTGCCTACAATGAGACACGACGATGCGACGGTAGCATTAAAGCTAAAATTTTTTTCAAGAATCGAGTCGTTTTGTCCTACTCTTATTGCATGAGGATCACGATTGTAAAACGGTTAATTAATAATTACTTTTCCCGTGCACGTTTACGTTCTGTCCGCCGATCACGCGCGAAATTTACGAGCGCGTCCGATCGCTCGATTATTTCGTGCTTCGCCGAGCGTCTTCTTGCGTACGGCCTGCACATTGTATATTGCGAATCGCGATAACGGGTTATCGGGATACCTATCTGCGGTATGTGCGCGAGTTGCGGACGTAAGCAGCATCGTCGACATAGGAAACCGGCTACGCGCATTGGAGATCTTTCGCTACAAGCTTTTCACGTTCATATTTTGCCATTACGGTGCTTCCCTTCGGGAATTCAGTCAGTTTACCCATAGTTTCTTCAATGCGATACGCGTCAGCGAAGTTCAAATCGCACGATGAATTGTAATTTTCTGTCATGAGGGATAAGATCGAAGGAAATGTAAACGTACGCGAGAATAATGGTGGTAAAATAATAAAATAAGTAATTTAATAATTAAAAAT